ACGGTGTTTTATTGTTCAGTCAGAGCCAGTTTTATAAGATTACACAGACTTAACACACACACACACACACACAACGATTTTAGCTGCTGACGAATCTTTTCTCTCCTGCGAAGGCTTCTCCGGCTCACAGCGCCTGAGATAGGAGCCTGGCCTTTGGGGCATGAAGCCAAAAGGGTGCAGAGAGGAAGAATGTCCAGAGAGCATGACCCAGAACTGAGAGGGAGGAGGTCCATATGATCGATAAATAAGAGGCATTAAAACACAGCAGGCAGAATATATTACTCACAAAGTGCTTAAATGCACATCTCATTCAACAAAATAAGCTACTGGATTAATGAATAATTCATTCAGATCCATGCAGCAGCTATGTGCACACGTGGACTCCATCGGGTAACGGAGTTCAACACATTTATTACAACTCAAGGATGCTGCAGCAGCGATTATTATATAATGACTGAAAATAAAGTTTATGTGACTTTTGAAGAAACTTAACTGGGCACCTTTTGTAAGTCCAACACCTCTAGTGACCTCCGCACTCACTCAGCACCCCAACAACAATACGCTAGAGCCTGTGCTCCTCCAACAACAGTCCCCTCACTCTGTTATTCACTTTCAATCTCCGGCTCCATTGTGTTTGTCACAAAGCTGCTGATTTCCCGTCGTCAGCCAGCTCTGAAGGACGCCGCGCCTGATGTGATGCAGCACAACAGGCAGGGTCACACGATTTCCAACAAAGTGTTAAAAACACAACGAAAAAGAGCAGATCTGTATTCCTGCGAGTCTGATGGGACCCACGAAGGGGAGGAGGTCACGTGTTGGGATGGGTTTGCCATGACGGACCTCCGATGTGTTTATCAGAATCAGAGAAGCTTTATATCAACACAAGAAACTGGACGGCTCCCAGTTGGTGCACTGGACAGGAAACACAAGATGGAAAATGTAGTTATATAAATATATAAATATATGGTTATGCAAAAATAAATATTGTGTGGATGCTGCTGTAAAGTTAATGGCTACGGAGTGCAGGTTTTAAAGAAACACATTAAAAATAAACAGTTTCATCACATTTTGTCCCGAAAACAATAAAACTGGTGGGAAAATGTCACTTTTTAAACAGAAATTACAATGTTAAGTTTAAAAGTTTAAGCATAAATATTTGTGATGACATTTAAAGGCACACTTGGTAGTTTTGCTTGTTTTTAGCACCCCCTAGTGTCCACTATTAATTATCTGTGGTTAAAACCGAAAGTGAAACCTATCTCCTCGCTGTGCGTTGGTCATTTTAACACTTTAGTCTAAGAACTGAAACATCTCCCCAGCCTTCATTAGTGTCTACAGGAGCGGTTCGTCACTAAATAAAACATCTCAGCTGTGTTCGTGACCTAAAACATGCAGGGAATGGGCTGGTGGCAGACTGCAGCGCCAGGTGTGTCAGCTCCACTCAGCCAAGTCCAACAGGGCGGCCCGCCACTCTGAAGTTGCAAGTGCGGTCTTCTGGCCACAGAGGGCAGTGAGGGTCTGAGTGAAGGGTCATTTTAGCACAAACCGGCTCAAGACAATTTTTAAAACTATGAAAAAGTTGCATATGGCCTTACACACACTTTTTATTTAAAAAAAATAATTCAATCTGAATATTTAGAAGAAAAATGTAAATAAAACTACATCTAAACATGGTGGATTTGAAACTACATGTTTAGCTAACATGCTAATGCTGAACCTAAAGGGTATGACATTGTGAGCCTGTTAACCTCTCTTAACCTGCAGGAGGAACCCAGACAAGAACATCCATAACTGATCAGGTGTTAGCCACTCTGAGATGTTCTGTAGGCGACCTCCTCTGAGAGGTCCTTGTAGTTAACAGCAGTCCAACTTCACGTGTTTAATTTCAAAGTTTGTTTCTATGTCTAAATTTGATTTAATTGACTTAAACTTGATTATTAATATTAATTCATATTTTTTTCTCACTTTCCTAATTTATATTTGATTTAAAATATGTTGTTATTTACAAACATTTATAATATAAAAGCTTATGTAAATTACAACTTCATCCTGAAACCTAGATGCAGCTGTGTCTGTTTACATCTAACTTCCAGTATTTACTTTTCATAATCAGAAGTTATTGTAAATATGTAGGTTTATAATTGTTTTTAATTGTTTATGATAGTAAATTTGTTTGATGCAACTTCTTATTTTTTGGCTTAATTTAAAAATTACGGTTTAACTTATTAAAATTCTTATATTTTTATTTAGGCTTAAGTTTGTGTAGTCCGATTGGATTCCAAAAATGTAACTTTAGGAATTTAGATTTGATCCTAAACATGTCTCCCCACTTTTTCCAAAGTAAATTTTTGTCCCCTGCACTTTTTAGCGTCCGAAAACAATATTACGCTGTTAGACTGGTTGAGCACCAGGACTACGAGTTCAGCCAGAATCTGATGTAAATGAACGCTATTGGTCAGAAATTCAGAAAATACGTGTAAAATGGTGACAATGAGCAGGAATGAAAATGATGAACAAGGTGAAAAACAAAGTTGAATATTAGTTTTTTGTTTTACTGCCACCTGTGTACTTCACAGTTCTGCATTGCACAAGAGCGTCAGGACTGTAGTGCAGGAGTGGGGAACCTGGTCCATCGAGGGTCGCCATCCGGCATATTTTAGTTTCAACCCTGAATCATCACACCTGATTTCAATCGGCAGGTGATTAACGGGCTTCTGCAGAGCTTGATGAGCTGCTGAACAGGTGAATCAACCACTGAATCAGAAGTGTTGGAGCAAAGACGTGCAGGATACCGGCCCTCGAGGACCAGGGTTCCCCACTCCTGCTGTAGTGTTATACATAATCTTGTAAACTTACTGTAAAGACCCCACACACACACACGTGAGTGTGTGTTGTAATATCACTACACACTGTAGGTAATTTCCTGATGTGGAGAGACAGATGTGTTGCTGTAATAAAACAACTCTGACCACAGACATTTTAAATCTGCTTTGGGACTTAATGTCTTAGATTGTTCTAGAAGAACTGGTTATTTTTGCAGATGTATGAAGAAATCCCAACCCTGGATTCACTAAAAGTGTTATATTTTTCTCTAAAACCTGATTTATCCTGTTGTAAATCAGTTAAAAGTGAACATTTCTGGTCCAGGACGCAGTCTACATCGGCTAAAGCTGTATTTATTTATCCTTTCACGTCTCAAAATAATGAAAAATCCCTCCAAACCAGCAGCGCACCTTGACTCTCACAGCATAGTGGAGTAAACATAAGAAACGTTGTCTTTGAGGATGACTTCTTAAGTGATTTCCTACAACGAGGCACACATTTAAACTTGTTTTTCATCATCAGGTTTGTGGGGTTGGAGAGATCAGTGTCACTGTTACTCCTACTTGTGTTACAGCACAAAATCCTGCGTGAACATTCAGATTAGAGCGGAGGAAGCTGGGCTTTAACTTTGACGTTCTGCCTGATTTGTTGTTAAATATCATGTAAAACTCTAAAGATGATATGTCTTCCACCATGAACGTGTCATTCTGCGGACTCAGATGTTATCATCTGTCTGGTTATCCAGGTTGTTCCACAGCAGCTGCAGCGCAGCACCATTCTGGCTCCAGCAAACCTCCGAGCCCGTTTTTATTTGGAGATGCGTGGCTCATCGGTGGTCCCTCAGGTCATCCACCTGCAGATGGATGACTGTGAGGTCTGTTAAGGGAGACTTGATTGGCTCCTGATAGCTGGTTAATGATGTATTGATCTGTCTGGAGAGACAAAGGAGCGCTGGAGGGGAGCAGGTGTGAAACAAAGCAAAGTATCACAATGTGTGGCAGCAGAGAACCCAGATCAGGGGAAGGAAATGAACTAAAGCATCCAAAAGCGTGTTGTGGAAATTCTCAGGAAGCCAGTAAATCACAGAGAAAATGACTAAATAAAAAACCTGAACAAATTCAGCAGTACGAGTAGTTGCTGACACCTACTCAGCACGGCTCGGTTCTGTGCGATTCCACGGCTTTCCCTCTAGTAACAACCCTGTGGTTGCTGCTGTCTTTCTTAAAACCAACTTCATGTGGTTCCAGTTGAACCATTCTGGGCCAAAATCATGATGTCAAAAGATTCTTGGTCACTAATTGGCTGCCGGAGGGGGTGGAGTCACCCACGCTCTCCTGTACACCTGCCTTGCTGCCTGCAGCCTCCTCTCTTCTTTTCAGAGTCTGACAAAATGCCACAGACTGATCAGCGAGCTCAACTCGACTACCGTGTCATTCGTTGGTGCGTTATATATATGGCGTAGTGAACAGGACACTTTTCTGACTCCAGGGACCACCCTGCTGTGATGAGCCCCCACTGGAGTTGTTTTCCAGTTGTGATGTAAAAAAAACATTCAAACAGTGTCGGGTCAAGCTGAGCTGAGCCGCTCTAAAAAAAAGGCTTCAAGGCTGTGTTCAGTGTGTTTTGCCCTTTTTCTGCCATCTGCATCTGTGCTGACTTTTTATGACTTGTGATTTCAAAGGTGGAAGTACCGTCATTCACAAAATAAAAGCATGCAGCAGAATGTGACTAAATACCATAAATTGTTTATTTTTTGGTCGAAATGTGTTTTGTGATCATTAGGAGATGATGTCATCTTTGAAATGATAATTTGATTAAGTGCTCAGCTTTAATCACACAAACCATAAAAACTGGATCGTTTAGCTACAGACTGGTACTTATAAGTTCTTGTGAATAAAGGATACACAGGGTACTTACACAGTTTTCAAGATATTTATTATACTTACAGGGGTTTGTAGCCCATAAATACCCCATAGGAACCCAGTTTAAGCCCTGCAGGTATCATGTCTGGTGTATCATATCAAACTGAAACCACTCGAAGAACCTGGTCGGACTGATGTGATACTTTATGCGAATAGAATGAGAATTTTTGCTGCCAGGTTCAAATCAGCTGAAAAGTCTCTCTGCACGTTCCTTCGCGGAGCTCCGGGCTGCAGCTCAGTCTGTCCAACTTCCCGAGTCTGAGTCTCAGGCGGACTTTCAGCAGGACTCCTCCTGTCCCTCTGCAGGAGCACCAGAGGAAAACAACCCAGAAAGCAGACTAGACCTGCGGTGCAGGGGATGCGCACGTGGGAAGAAGTTAAACATCTCCATGGGAAAAGCTAGATGAGCGGAGATTTCCATCTGAAGCTGTTTTATATCACCTGTTCAGGTTGGTCAGTGCGTCACATCAGCTGTTTTTGATGTGTGGTCGCGCGCGCATTCACTCTGCGTAAATAAAGACTGGTCTGAGTCTGGTCTGGGCTGTTCAGGATCTGGACTCCGTGAGCAGCTGGTCACCCTGAGCCTGAGATCCCGGGTGTCTGTTCAGTGATGGTGACGTCAGGAGCAGCGCGCGGGGAGATCAGCGGTGAACGGACTCAGACCACGCAGTGCGCGCTTTTCTGAACTCCTCCAGCGGTGCTCGGTGGAGAGACGGGCTGAAGCGAACGCACTGGGACCGGACCGGACCGGACCGCGGCAGAGCGCGTCATGAACAACCGGTCTCTGACTCCGAACGCGGGTCCGGCGCGGCTCGGTGGCGGCTCCGTGGATCATGAACTCATCATCACATCTACCTTTGGGACGCTCCTGTCCGTGGTCTACATCATCGGGGTGTCAGGTAACGTGTACACGCTCGTGGTGATGTGCCACTCCATCCGGTTCGCCACCTCCATGTACATCTCCATCATCAACCTGGCCCTGGCGGACCTCCTCTACCTCTCCACCATTCCCTTCGTGGTGTCCACTTACTTCCTGAAGGACTGGTACTTTGGAGACGTGGGCTGCCGTATCCTGCTCAGCCTGGACCTCCTCACCATGCACGCCAGCATCTTCACGCTCACAGTGATGTGCACCGAGCGCTACCTAGCCGTGACGCAGCCGCTTGACACGGTCCGGCGCTCCAAGAGCTACCGCAAGGCTCTGGCGTGGGGTGTGTGGCTGCTGTCCCTGGTCCTTACAGTGCCCATGATGATCATGGTGGCACAGACCTCTAAGAAGTTACCGGACGGGGGCGTGAAGAGGATGTGCGCACCCACCTGGGCGCCTCGGGCTTATAAGGTTTACGTCACGGTCCTGTTTGGGACCAGCATCATGGCTCCAGGGCTCATTATCGGCTACCTGTACGTCCGGTTGGCGCGCACCTACTTGGAGTCTCAGCGCAAATCAGTGATCAGTAAAGACAGCAGGAGGAGCCCCAAGCAGAAGGTCCTGATCATGATCTTCACCATCGTCATGGTGTTCTGGGCATGCTTCCTGCCCTTCTGGATCTGGCAGCTCCTGCCCCTGTACCACACCAAGCCCCTGAGCCTGGCCTCGCAGACTCACACCTGCATCAACTACCTGGTGGCGAGTCTCACCTACAGCAACAGCTGCATCAACCCGTTCCTCTACACGCTGCTCACCAAGAACTACCGGGAGTACCTGAAGAACCGCCACAAGAGCTTCTACAAGTACACGTCCTCCTTTAAGCAGCGGCCGCCCAGCCTCCACTCCTGGGGCAAGTCCGGCTCCTCCAGCACGCAGTTCGACTTTAACTCTGAGGCGGTGGCCATGGGAACGCTGAAGTGACACGTGAGGGGGATGCAGGTAGGTGCTCATGCGCGCGCGAAGTCTGCGCGTAAAAGGTGAACGTGCGCTCTGAGGCTCAACGTTTGGTCTCTTTCTGCAAACAGCAAGAGCGCGCGTAAAGTGCGACTGGTGTGCACGCGCATCAATCACACTTTAACCTTATTGCGCGCACGAGCTCTGCGTCTCGATGGTAACCATTTACAACCCAAGCGTGAATAGCTCATTTAGTTCCATTTGGAACCCTCAGGGAACGCTCTGCACTAACGCACCAACTGTTCCGTGTTGTTGCTTTAGTTTAGTTTAGTGCCAAAGCTCAACTAAATGTTCTGTACTTTGTTGTAAAAAATCTGTAACTGCTGGATGCCTGCAGACCTCTTCGTTACAGCTATGCTGCACAAACATGGCCAAACAAAATGTGGGGAAACACCTGGGAGCTTTTTTAGAACACATCCAGGTGTGGACAGATGTTAAATCACCGGACCCAGAGGGTCACTCAAAAGTCAAGACAGAATAAAAGCACGTGAGAAAAACTGAACATGAGAAAACTGTTGTAATCGTGTTTTGTCTGTAATAACAATCGTTTCTCCAACATTTGGTGATAAAATATAAACTGAAACAACAAATTAGAATTGAATAGACTTTATTGATCCCACAGTGGGGGAATTCACTTGTTACAGCGGCACCAACACAAGAGAATCATTTGAAAAATAACAACAAAGGTACATGTATATACACACGGGTAGTAGTCTATATTGTAACCTTTGACCACTAAAAACCACAAATAAAAATGAAAAACGTGGGTTCCTGCACTATGCAGCACACTGTAAGGGACACAAACGTACTACATAAGTTTGGTATTGCATTGATGAACACCCTTGTGGAGGTCAAAACAATCTCATGATTTTTATTTCCAAGTCATAATAGTATTTTTATTTTTGAAATAACAAAACAAAGGAAAAAAAATATTTAGTTGTGACTTTTTAATGCAGCTCAACAATTTATTAAACACACACATTTCAATAAAGGGAACATTTTATTAGAAAAGGATTTCAGTGTTGATTTAGACAAAAAATGTTATTTAGTTTTAGTCTTTCGTCTAAGTCCTTTTATTTTAGTCACAATTTTGTCTATATGAATGTATGTGTGTGTGTGTGTATATATATATATATATATATATATATATATATATATATATATATAGTGATGCACCGATATGAAATTTTTGGGTCGATACAGATATTAAGATCACTGTTATGGCCGATAACCGATATTTGCTGATACCGATATACTGACATTAATGCTTCTAAAATCAGCAGAGTTTGTATAGAATGAAAATTATTAAAGCTGAATTTACATTATTATGTACACACAACACACACATTTAAGGTTCTGAGAGGATTTCATTCACTGTTCACATGATTAAACAATTACACATCACCCCCCCCCCCCCCCTACTTTTCAGATGGTCACATCTAATGCATTCCTTCCAGCCTCCTGTTAAACATAAATAAAAATGTTAACGTTAACGGTGTGATGTTGTCATTTCCTCATGAAAAAGAAAAAAAAACACTTTTGGCTGCATTCATGCATTTTCCTGTTTCAGCTGCAAATTTTCCGTTTTACTTTGAAAATCTCGTAAAGCATCAATGGAAACAAGTCGGGCCCTGTTCCTCTTCCAGAAGCTAGTCTGGTCTGAAACATTGAAACTTGAATTGAATTGAATTGAATTGAAAACATGCCTCCCCTGCCCAGCACAGGATATGTGTCTCAGGCGACTATTATCAGACTTGGTAGTCCACTGGTTAGAGTGCCAGACAGGTCACAATAACCACTGGACTAGCAAGGCCAACACAACAGCAGGCTGGTCTACGATGCTGTTGTAGGTGACCTTTGTCAGAATGGGTGTGGGCGGAGCTTCATTAAAACGAACTGTTTCATTTCTGGTTAAGAATTCAGGCTGACGAAAATAACTCGTATTTAAGATAAATGACATCTCAATAGTGCCAACAGTAGTTTGTTGTCGTAGACTGTGCCCACCTTTGCTCTCCGAGGTTTAAACCAGCACGATCTGGAACCTTTAAACAGATTCACCAACATCCCAGTTGGCAGATGCCGGTTCTCCCGGAACCCACGTACATTCTGGTATCAAGTCTGTCCAAGCGGAGGCCCTAAAGGTTTGGTTTTCCCTCCCTCTTTTGCACCAAACCCGGCCAAAAGGAGGCATAGAGCATATCCGAATGCAGGAGGTTTGGAAACATCAAGGCACACAACGTTTTTGGAGATGGGAATGGATGACAGATGATGAAATGATGAAGGAGCACATTTTTATTTTCACCACATGTCAGATCCAGTTTATCAACAGTCAAAGCAGCAGTGGTGATCCAGTCTCATAAAGGCCTGTTCAGTCGCTCGTGGCAGAAAGCAGCAGAAACCACAAATGCGATCATGTTCAGTAATTCACGAGTGGCTGTCACACCATCACACCTCCCAGCTGTGGGCCACGGTGGGGTCCTGGAGGTTCAGCCTGTGTTGGATTCAGGCTTGCTCCCTCACACATTAATGTGGCTCGCTGATGAAATTATTGGTCATGAATTCTCTGTGTGAGCTTTAGAGAAGGACTGCAGAACTGTGTTTCCAGTTTCCAGTCATACCAGTAAATAGTGTTTTCAGTTGGTTTTCCTGGGTGAGGAGGAAGTCGCAGCTGTGGAAAATCACTGTTTCACTTCTTTATAAGAGGTTATTTCATGATGCATTACGCGCCACAACTTCATTTGTGGCAGAAAAAGCCTCTCAGCAGACCCCTTTCCACACATCACCATTCATGAGGTTGCTCATAATGACACCTATTTGGTCCACATTCACCAGTGGACCGTTGTTTGTAGTAGTGAGGTCACCTGTGGTGGTCAGGATCAGTCGTAATGGTCATAACTACTCATTTCTCTCTGTAGATTTTGTTTTTTGCTATGTGAGATCTTTCTGGCTGTTCTGTTGTCCACGCCCGGTGTAGTGAGAGGTTTCAGGCTCAGTCCCATTACTCACACAGCACCCTCCGGCCCTCAGCCAAGAGCACTTGGAGGAAGTGTGCACGGCTATGAGTGTGTAGTACACAATAGTGCAAATAACTGCAAAGTTGGGACAGTGAGTATTGCATCATCGACCATGACTCATTTCAGGACGGGGGTCACCGTTTGTGCTGCTTAAAAGAAATCTTTATTTATAACTTTTTAATTATTAAATTATTAATATTAGTAACAACAATAATTATTTCACATAATTTATATCCATTACTGCCCACATTAAATGTTAGTCTAAAACATTCAGAGCATGGATAAATATAATTAATCTTCTGAAAATTAGATTCTTTCATTTTGGGTAAAAGAGGAAATGATAAAACTTTGCTTCCAATATTGAAGATTTGATTTTCCATAAATATTCCAAATGTTCTTCCTGACAGGAAGGGAAAAATCTCTTTATTTAGTGATGGAGGAGTCCAGAGACCTAAGCCAGTCAGATGGTGGCTTTCTTGGGATCATTGAGATTAAGTAACTGATTCTTGGTAAAACCGTCATTTTAATTGTGGCAACCCTCCCAATCAGTAGAGATTTCCATCAAGCAAGATCATCTTCCTCTTTCTTTAAAGTGGGATGTAGTTTAGTTTTGTTAAATCTGCCAACCTGGGAGAGATGCCCGTGTATGTAATATTCCCTGACTCTAACTGTGTATTAAGGGAATTGAAAAAATATAAATTAATTAGGAGAACTGTAGATTTTAACCAGTTTATTGAATAATCTGAAACACCTGAAAATCAATTCAATTTCTTGGGAGAGAGGATTGAGGATTCTTGAGAAAAAGTAGCACATCATCTGCATAAAGACTGATTTTATTCCATTCCATTCCATTTACTTGATAGAGCACATTTAAAAACAGCATGTGAGCTGACCAAAGTGCTGTACAGGGGTATAAACATATAAGGTTAAAAGAATAATATAAAAGAATAAAACAGCTAGAGCATAGCACAAAGAACCGAACAAGAGAAGTTAATAACATCAGTAAAAGAACAGTGTAAATAAACCTAGATAGAATAGCTAGGCAATAAAAGCAAGGGAATAAAAGTAAGTCTTTAAGTGAGACTTCAAAACCCCAATGGAGGAGGAGAGTCTGATATTCAACGGGAGATCATTCCAGAGTTTCGGAGCGCAGAAAGAAAACGCTCGTTCACCACGGGTTTTGCAGCGTAGACGGGGAATCTGTAGTAGGTGTAGGTCACCTGACCGGAGAGTCCTACCCGGCACATAAGGAGTGAGTAACCCAGATATGTAAAGTGATGCTGAGCCATTCAACGCCTTAAAAACAAACAATACAATTTTAAAACGTATATGGTAGTGCACAGGAAGCCAGTGAAGTCTTGCTAAAATTGGAGTGATGTGCTGCCGACGACCCGTATTAGTCAGAGATCTTGCTGTCACATTCTGTATCAGCTGAAGGCAAGATAATGTGGCTTTTGAAATGCCAAACAGAATTGCACTGTAGTCCAACCTTGAGGTGATAAAAGCGTGAATGGTTGTCTCGAGGTGGCGCCAATCCAGAATGGGTTTTAGTTTGAAAAGACGTCTCAGCTGATAAAAACATGATTTAACCATGTGATTAACATGAGGGTCCATTTTTAGAGCCACATCCATTTTAATTCCAAGATTAACAATTGTTTGACTAATTTCAAAAGGAAGAGCAGAAAAATCAGGAGAAGAGGAAGACGAGCCATTAGAAGTAAAAACAATAAACTCGGTCTTAAAATCATTCAGCAGCAGAAAATTTGCTGCCAGCCAGTCTTTAACCTCACTCAGGCAATCAAGGAACAGCTGGATGGAGGTAAAAGTCTTCAAGGGAACATAAATCTGGCAGTCGTCCGCAAAAAGATGAAAGTTAATGTTGAACTTCTTGAAGATTAGTCCCAGTGGAAGAATATAAATGCTAAATAAAAGGGGGCCGATGATAGACCCCTGTGGCACGCCCCAAGGAAG